CCACCATTGGGATGAGACCACAGCTTCAGCAGGTCACAGCGCTGGTGAGGCAGTTTGCAGTGCTCTGGTGACTTTGCCAGGCAGGGGCTGATCCTCCGTCCCAGCAAAGTGGAGGAGACCTTGGGCTCTCCGGATGCCATGGGGGGCTGTGGGGAGAGCGCAGGGCACAGCTGGGCTCCCTGTCCCTGCAGGGAGCAGATGAGCTTCAGGGGGAGCCCCAGCAGCTCCCTGAGCACCTCCTTAGGACCCTGTGAGGCCATGTTTGGGGTGGCTGCACTGTGGCAAGCCAAAATTAAAGGCCAGTGCCTGCACTGACCTGCCCCATGAATTTTGTTTCTCCTCTCAGCCCACAGACACAACTCATCACACAGATGTGGCAGCTGGTGAGGATCGAGTCACCCCTGCGTCACCCCTCAAGGCTGCTGGCATTTCGGAGCCCAGTGCCAGCTCTCCTGGCCCTCAGAGGAAAATTACTCATTCCCAATGCCAGGGTCAGAAGCTGGGCTCCCCACCAGCACAAGAGCACAACCTTGGTGCTGTGAGCAGGATGTAGGATGACCACAACAATGACTTATGATCCAGTTAGAAACAAAATGTCTCCCTATATCAGAGCAACCGCAGGATAAAAAAATTAAAAATAATCAGAATTAGCTGTCCCATGGCAGAAACCACTAAACGAGACTTTCATGTAAGCAGTCTTGTTTTCCATAGGAAGGTGGAAGCTCTGGTTGGAATCAGGCCAGGGTAGCTATGGAGAACTCCAGCTTCTGCCTCACCAAGCTGAGAAGCAGTATTGCTCCACCAGATGAAAAGTTTCCATATTATTTCCCACTGCTGGGTGATGGATCCCCAGGGCACATGTGAGGCTGTTTGTAATCATAACAAGTGACGGCACGCTGCTTTGGTGAGGTGAATCATCTTCCCAGGGTGACGAGTCCCCATGTATTTCCACTCACGTGGTGGTGGCCCTGTGGCACGATGCCGTGAGCAATCCCCAGGGGACGGGAGAGCACCGGGGCAGGCGGGTGCCCCAGAGCCCACCGTGGGACCTTGCCATGCCCAAAGCAGTGTGAGACTTTAATAACATACAGCTACCAAAATTCACCCCTCAGGACAGGGATAAGATCTTGGATCGCTCCAGTTTGCAAACAGCAGCTCCCAGTGAGCACAGGGGTAAATAACTCCTCTGGGCACCGCTTTCAGCAGCTGCCCTGTCACTCTTCAGTGGCTTCGTTGCACAACCTGGGACAAACACATACCCCCACCTTTTAGAACATCATAAAGCTAGACCTACTTTCCATTTAATAGCTTTAAATAATACTTTCTTAACTCTACTGAAAGTTAATGCATATATTACACACATTTTAATTACATCTTTCCCTGCTAACAATGCGGGTGTACTTAATGTCACAAAACCTGCTTATTTGGTGGCTGCAATATCTTTCTGGAGGGATAACTTCAAAGCCTCATCTCCTCGTCACGCATCAAAGCCTGTATTTCAGATTACCGTGTGCTGCCCTACAGCTCAGCTAAACGACTTCATTCAAGAAACTGAAAACATGATGAGGCATTTTTCCTTGCACTGCCTTATAGCAGGCAGGCTGTCACGCTTCAAGCCACTAGTTGAACAATACTGACGTATGAAGTTGAAAAAGAAAACCCTATCAGAGTCCTGGATCAGCAAAGGGATTATGCCCTAAGAGTAATTAAATAGAACACGTACCTTCCAGAATTATAAATAAAAATTAAGCATCAAAAAATTGATTCAAAACATTCCATGTGTCTTGCACACCAAATGCTTTTACCCTCCATTACTCAAAAATTCCAGACGTCATTCCAGGACTCTTATTGCCATTACATTGGCACTGAAGGCGCTTCCCAAATGACCATATTTGGTCTGCAGCCCAGCTATGAGCTTTAGAAATACGAAATGGCTCAAGTGCTTTGCTACTTATTAACTTGAAATTCCAGGAGACTGAGGTAAAATACTCTGCCTCATGGTTGTGATGAGGTCACCAAGAAACCGAAGGTCGTTTCATTTGCCCCAAAGAACCTACTTTCATGATGATGCTGGTGACTTTGGGGTTGGTCCTTTCTGGTCCTCCCCTCACCACAGCAGATTTAGACAGAGCTGCAATTTGGGTAAAAATGGTAAAAATCAAGAAACACAAAACACCTTAAAGCCTGGTATGTGGAAGGGGAAGCCCAGCTCTGGAAAACAGAGCTGTGGTGGCACCTGGAGAGAACCAGTGTGGCAGTGCTCGTCCCCACACTGCCCCCTTGCACCCAGCATCACCTCTGCCTGTTCTGCCTGTGCTTCCCTGGAGCCGCATGCTCCCCTTTGGGGGGACAGGCTAATGGGGCTGTTTAGTGGGGCAGGAGGGGCACCTCAACAGACCAGGGCTCAGGCAGACTGGCCCAGCCTTTGCACCCTTTGTAGAAAGGACACAGCAGCACTGGTAACCCCAGCAGTATCAAACCCCTGACCAGCACAGACACCACGTCTTGCCCACAGAGGAGAAATGAAGCTTCAGCAGAGTCCCAGGGTGAACTCATACCCCATAGGTGCTCCCCCCCACTGAACACCCTGTGAGTCACACGGTGCTCCAAGCCCAGAATAGGCTTCCTCCGCCAGAGCAGGAGGGGATGTGGGCTCATCCCCCAGTGTCTGCCTGCAACCCTCACAGAAAGGCACAGGAAACCTCAGAGATCCTCTCAGTCCATCTCTGCCAGGAAAAACCATTTTGTGGGTGACCCAAGGGCAGCCAGGACTGTGACCAAAAGGAAGAGTCTGTGCCTGAAGGCAGAGGAGGAACCCCCACATCACTGACAGACCCTCGTACCCCACTGTCCCATGGGGACCCTAAACAGGCACTTACACATATCCATCCCACAGCACCTTCTTGGGAGCAGAAAGAAGATGGAGGGCTGAACTGCTGCTCCAGGGGTAGCAACACACCAGCCACAGCCCCCATGCCCAGTAGGTGCTGTCAGCAAAGCCCGGCTGAAGGGCCCTGGGCAGCACCTACTCATCGCTCTGAGCTCTTGCCCAGACGGCTTTGGCATTGCCTTCTGTCTCATCACCTGCCTCTCCCCTGGGAGGAGGGAGAGGCTGAGGAGGGGCTTTATTAAGGAATGTCCCACAGGTGCTGCTCACCTGACATCATTCCATGTAGGGACAGAAACCCCAACCTATGTTGGTTTCATCAGCAGCTTCACCCTCTTGTGCAAGAGCAGGGCAGGCCTGAACTGTCAACGTTCATGCACCATCGAGGCTGTTTTATGGTTTGATAAGGAGCAAAGGAAGTGCAGTAAACAGGGAGATAAAGCAGTGCAGAATGTGAGCTCCCAGTGTCCCCCCAAACAGGTCACCTGGCCGCTGCCTGTCCCCCTGATAATGCCTGAGGTGGAGGGGCAAGGGGAGGCTGATAAGCCAGGGGCCCTGGGGACAAACATGGCACTGACAGGCACGGTTCAGGGTCAGAGCCTTCATGGGCACCACAACAAACATTTACTCTTTGATGCCAGGGTAGCCAAAGCAAGCCTTATTTTGGGGTCAGCTGCGGGTTTTGATGACTCTGACCCCAAGGCTGCAGCTGCTGTCGCAAGCCCTTAGCTCAGGCTGTGCTTTCAGGAAGGTCAGGAGGGAGATTTACAACGCCCAAGACCTTCATTTTCCCTCTCTCTTTATTAGTTTTCTCCAGAGCCTGCCCTGGGCCAGCTCACTGGACACCTAGCAGAGAGGAAGCAGCGCCCAAGCTCTGTTATTTCACATGCCCACTTCCCCAGTAGCTGGGTTGAGTAGCAAACACTGGGGCAGCACACTGTCATGTCCCTTGCTAGCAGCCAGTGCTCCAAATCCCTGTCTGGCCAAAACGGATTTGTGGTGCCCATTCCAACATCTGCAGCACACTCCCTGGAGAGCTGCAGCTGCCTCCCAGCAAGACCTGGATCCCACTGCTTTCAACTGTGCTGCATCTTTGGGAGCCCCTCCATGAACTGCATTTTGTGCCAGCTCCATCTGAGCCTGTTCAGTTGGTTCAGACAGTGTTGGGAGCTGTGTGCTGGTGCCTCTGGATCAGACCTGCGTGGGTGGCCGTGCGAGCAGGGCAGTGGGGTGCAGGCTGTGTGGCTGTTCCCAGAGAAAGGAAGGAGGATATGAAAGCACCCTGTAAACATAGGGAGAAAAATCCAAGATGCTTAAAGATGTCATTTAGCTTGACCTCTTATTATACCTCCTGCCATTATACTTGATTGGGGGCCAACAAATGTGTCTCTGTCTGAGGGCTGACATGTGGCAGAGGATTAAGGGAGGGCAGGGGGATGGTTTCCCTGCAAATGCCACTTCGGGTGACCGAACCATCCCACCTGCAGCATCCTCACTCAAGTGCTGTTTTAGTCAAACTCATGTCTGCCCTTCCACCACACAGCACAAACCAGACCCACGTGCACAAACCAAGACTGCTGTGCTGGGAACACCTGGCCAGGAGTTTGAAGGACAGTGCTGGGGCATCACGTATCTTCCCATGGCTGCCTCTTCCAATGGGGCTTCTGGTGCCCTCCAGAAAACCCTGCTGCTTCCCAGACCCTTTCACCATCTACCCCATCCATCTCCTGATCTTGACCTCTGGCCTGGACTGGCCCAGGGAGCCTGGTCCTGGCCCAGCACTGCCTGGAGTGGTCCCAGCTAGTGCTCAGTCATGGCAGGCATCCCACAATGGGTGTCTCTCTGTGGGGAAGGATTCTGAGTTCTGGTGGAGCAGTTGCTCTGCCAGGACAAGGGAGGTTGGCTCAGCAGAGCCACTTTTCCCCCCAGGCAGAAGTTCAAAGTCTCCATGCTACTCTGTGCTGGGAGATGGAAATGAGGGAAAGGAGGAAATGGTTATTCCTGGTCGTGATGGATACAGCTGACTGCTCAGTCTGATCTCCCAACCAGCTGCAGAGGGACGGGTGCATAAACACACACACGTACATATTTATAGGCACACTCGCAGCAACTCATTTTGCCCAAGTCCCTCAAGATGTTGCTCCTCTTCTTACTTTCACTCTTCAATTTCAACCCATCTCTGAGCCTAAAACTTTGCTCCTTCAATGTGAGGTCTTTTGGAGAAACTAAAATAGCCAGACCTGAAGTCGTTGATGCCGTGGTAAAGGTACGTTCGTTTGCTTGGATGAGACAGACATTGAGTTTTCTGAGGGTTTCTTAGCTGTGGAATCTTGAACTTTATTTATCTTTCACTTTATTTTTCTTTTCAAGTGAAAAAATGAGTGCATAATTTTAAAAAAATTATACTCTGAAAGTAAAAATCAGCCTGTGGTTGAATAGGATGTTTGCTGTTATTTTAGCCTGCGTGAGAATATAACAGAAACAACGTTTGCTGTTTCCTTTGGAAAATGGAGTTAGGAAAGGAGGAAAACCTCAGTGCTCAGTAAAAGTAATTTTCACTTCGAATCCACGGAGCTTTGTTTTGTGATACATTATTTGCCTTCCTTATGTGCTAATCATTCTGAAATATTCTTGTCTAATTAAACCTATTCTCAGGACAGCAGAGAGTATCTGTCATATTAGAGTCTGGTACAAATCCGAAAAGCCCAATTGCTAATTTATGTGAGCAAACCCTCACCACCAGGCTGCCTCTGCAGCAGCTGAAGATAACTCTGCCTTTTAAAAGAACCACATTTTAGACTCTTAGCTTTTGCAAGTGCCCTCCAAGATGCCACAGTAAGGGAGAACGTGGTGCTCGGCATTAGTGGGATGGCTGTGTGTCCTGAATGGCACCAACAAGGAACAGCACCATGTAGCTGGGTTTTAATACTTTGATTGCAAACTGCCAGAGAAGAGGGGTTTGCGTGGGCTTTGCATTTGCAGACCGTTCTTCTTGTACTGTCATCACTGTGGGGAATATCTACTAAATTATGGGTAATTTAGGTAATTATGGGTAAGTTTCAGGGGGCAGAAAGGGGTGCTTTTTTCCTGACAGAAATCACCCACAAAGTTTAAAGAACAATGAAACCAGGGGCAGAGAGAAGCCTCTGACCATGCTGGGCTGAGCGTGAACTGGGCTTTCCCGTGGGGAGTCCCAACAGCAGCTGCAGGAGCTGAGCCCTGCTGTCCCTCTGAGGTGTGCAGCCCTGTTTTCAGAGAGGAGGTTGCTTTGGGCACCAGGGGCTATTTCAGAGGGTCTGCAACAGACTGGGGCAGGTGAATGCTGACCGTAGGGAAAGGGGGGTGGGCAGGGGCAGCCCCCCAGCAGTGGCAGGGGGGGATCAGGCTCACGGCAGTGGCTCTTGCTGCCCCTTCCCCTCCACACTTCCTCCTCAGAGGCACGTGCAGAAGTTTTTCACTAAATCTGAAACCACTCTGCTCCCGAGTTTCCTCTCCCAGCTCATGCTGGGGTGTGCAGCTACTCAGAAAGCAGAAGAGCTTCGCTCCAGCCACTGCTCCCCTCCCATGATCCCAGGCTGAGTGCCACTTCTTCCACAAAGGACTTCCCCCACACCAGTAGCCACTTCTTTCTAACCCCTTCCTAATCCTCCAAAACCCACTATGTGTGAACTTCCTCCTGCTCCTTCCCCTCGCAGATCATTTCTCGCTGTGACATCATGTTGCTGATGGAAATAAAGGACAACAAGAACCGTGTTTGTCCTCTCCTAGTGGAGAAGCTCACCAGGTAGGGTGGCCATGGGCAAATGGGCAAATATTGGGAAAGACGCTTGGCAAGAGCCTGTGCTCTGCTCAGTGCCACCCTGCTGGGTGGCAAAATCTTAGGATGTGGGCTCTGTCCCAGTGTCAAGGAAGGACCAGGCTCTGGCAGTCTCACTGAGGGACAGGGGCAAAGCCAGCTCCAGACCACTGTAGAACACATTTTTAAATCAGTATAACCAAGTTAGATTCAATTTGCTACAGATTAATTCCCAAAGGAAAAAAAGAAGGGAAATGCCCTCACCAGGCTGGTGCTGCAGCAGGACAGCCACCTTCCTGCAGGGCTGGGAATTGCTTTAGATTAGGGATTGACAGCCTGGAGTGACAGTCCAGACAAAACAGCAGCGTTTGGCTGGCTGGATGTGAGACCCAGCTGAAGGAGAGACAGAGGCTGCAATGAGCAGGGAGAAGGGTCCAGCTCCTGAGAAGGGCTTAGTGTCTTTACCCACCTGCCTCTGAGGTCAGGCAGGCAACGTCCCACACCCTTGGGCACAGGCAAAATTACCTCGCTCTCAACCGCTTTTGAGTGCAGAAATGAACTCAGGAACACCACTTTCCTTCCAGTCAGCTGAAGGAGCCAAAGGATGAATACAGGTGCATTACCAGCCAGAGGCTGGGAAGGAACAGCTACAAGGAGCAGTATGCCTTCATCTACAGGTGAGTGAGGCCCCTTGCCAACAAGCCAGCCCTCATCCTTCCCTCTGGGTCACAGTCCCACAGAGACAGGCTGGACATGGTGGTGGCTTTGCTCTGTGGGAGCTGGAGATGTGCAGGCTTTGTGGGTGGGATGGGCTATGCCTGGGTGTGGGGATCATCCCAGACACAGCCACCAGTGCTGCTGTATCTGTCCCAGACCATGGCCCAGGGTCTGGGTCCGAGCATGGAGTCAGTGTCAGACAAGTCCCAGCGAGCCACAAGTGCGACATTCCCTATCCTGTCCATTCTGCTGCAGGCAACATCTGGTATCGGTGAAACAAACCTACCAGTATCCTGACACACAGCCTGGGGATGAGGATGTCTTCTCCAGGGAGCCCTTTGTCATCTGGTTCCAGTCTCCAAAAACCGGTGAGATGTTTCAGAAACGTGTCATTGTCCCACTGGTGAGTCATCAAGGCAACACTGGCTGGACCCAGGCATGTCAGGGGAAGGCTCAAGGGGCCACACCCAGACCCCATGCTGCTTTTCCTTCCAAGAGCAGCATTTTGCCTTTGTGGGAAAGGCCACAACCCCAGGAAAGCCTCTGCTGCTGCAGGCAGTGGGTTGGCGGATGCACTCCCTGCCTCTGGCACGGCCGGGAGCAGCGATTGCCACGGGTGCTGGATCAGGGTTTGCCTGCGCTGGCACAGCGTCTCAGGCTCAGCTGAGTGCCTGGAGGGGGACACTGTGCAACCACACAGAGACTGCCTCTGGTCCACAGTCGGAACAGAAACTTCCTCAGAAAAAAAACCACCCTTGCTTCCAAGTCAGTCTCTGTTTCTTTGTGACTGATTCTCTGTTTAACCATTACATTTTTTCTGTTCTTCTGCCTTGTTTTTAAGCTGTCAGTGAGTTTGCTATAATCCCTCTGCACACCACACCAGACACTGCAGTGCGGGAGATTGATGAGCTCTATGATGTGTATTTAGATGTCAAACAGCGCTGGAAAACCGAGGTTGGTTGCTACATCTGTGTTACTAGCAGGGCTTTGGTAGAGTCACCTGGCAGGCTATTCACTATTCACACCTGATAATCTTAAATCCATTGATAATGAGACCCAGGTTTTGAGTATCTCTTTGATGTATTTTCGCTGAATTCTCCATATTTGATACAGCAAACTCGATCTCCCAATAAGATTGTTATCAGCATGCCCTGGTGTGCCCAGCAGAAAGGAGAAGTCCCACTGCACTCAGAGAGTGGCTGCTGTTAGAGCTGTAATGGCTACTGGGAGCATCCATGGACCTTAAAAGTCCTTGTCAGTCTTCTTTTGAAGAGCTGTCCTCATGGAAACTTTTGAAAAACCTCCTACCTTCCAGAACTTCATCTTCATGGGAGACTTCAATGCTGGATGTAGCTATGTTCCCCGAAAGCAGTGGAAGAACATCCGGCTGAGGACTTACTCCGAATTCATCTGGCTAATTGGTGACAAAAATGACACGACGGTGAAGGGCAGCACGAGCTGCCCATATGACAGGTAAAGGGCCACTGCCAAACCAATCACTGGTTATGACTCTCTGAGTGAAAAAATATATCAAAAGGTGTCAGTAACGGACAGAGAAAACAAATGTACATGAGGCCATCAAAGATAAAACAGTGTCCAGGGGAAATGTGATCCAAATGCTTCTAGTCAGGAGCACAAAGCACTTTGCAGACCTGTTGGTGAGTAGGTTTGGAGAACAGGCAGGATTTCAAGCAAGAACCAGCTCTTGCTGTGGCTCAGGTGGGGATAGATGACAGGCCATTCAGCAGCACTTCTCATCCCCAGGGAGCTCTGCAGACACCTGGAGGAAGGTGCTGCTGCCTGTTCCGTGCCAGCTTTGCACCATGACTTTGGCTCTTCCATTTGTAATTTGAATTGACAAATGCAAAGCCAGGTTCTGCCTGGGGAGGGGACACCTCACCTTCCTCTGGCAATGTGGCAAGTCCTGCTGCCAGTGCAGTTCCCTCAGCAGGGACAAAAAACACATCAGCTGTTGGAGCCCAGAGCCCTCTTGAAGAATGAGCTTCTGGATCTAAGGAGGACTTCACTGAGACTCCAGTCATTGGTGTGTTTTGTATCCAAAGCAGGGCTTTCAACTTCCCAGCACTGTTAGGTGGGTTTAGACAGAAGCCATTTGACATTGGCTTCCAAGAGCAATGCATGCCAAGATATTTAGATGCCTCGCTGCCAAGGAGGCACCTAAAGGAGCTGGCATGTCTGGATGGGACGCCCATGGGTAAGGACAAACTATACAGCAGGGCAGTCTGGCTGCTGCTGCTCAGGCACCTCATCACAGCACCCCATTCCCTTGATCCTTGCAGGATCGTAGTCAGCGGACAGAAGCTCCTCCAGGCTGTCGTGCCACACTCTGCCAACATCTTTGATTTCCAGAAGGACTTTCAGATGACTGAGGAGCAGGTAGGCACAGCACAGCCTCTGCAGCAGCGGGGCAAGGGCTAACACAGGAGTGCAAAGCCAGCGGTGTCCAGGCAGTTCTGAACATGGTCCTGGCCATAAAACTGCTGCATCTTCCCAAAGTAATGCAGTGCTTGCGTTGCACCTCCCCACATCCATATCCCAACTGGGACAGGGCTTGGAGAGAGCGGGAGTGTCCGCTCCCAACCCTCTGTGCCCTTGTCTTGCAGGCACTGGGAGTGAGCGACCATTTCCCAGTAGAGTTTGAGTTAAAAGCAAAAGGTGGCTTCTTCAACTGGCTGAGATCAAAGTTTTCAAGGAATAGGAGGCCAAGGAAGAGCCGCCAATCAAGATGATGATCATGCTGAGTCCTCATCCATGGCATGGAAATACACGAATGCCAACAGATCTTGTGTAAATATACTCACAGCAAGTGGAACACCCCCCACCACCCCCAAATATTTTGTTAAAGTTCAAATATTTTGGGTGAGAAGGCAAAATAAACCTTCAGGTTATTTTCTTATTTTCTGTATGCAGAAATAAACCAGCTAGAAGCAGCACACTGTACTTACTGTACCTGTTGCAAACGTAAGGAGCTACTGCAAGGGTAAAATACTTCCATGTGCTTTACCTGCAACACCTGAAGGGCAGGGATCTCCACACATTCCTGTGGGCTATGGAGCTCTGCCACTCCTCTGCAGGGGCAGAAGAATTAAAAAGGGCTTTCTGCATCTTGTGTGTGTGTGTGTGTGCCTCAGAGCTGCAGCCAGCAGGACTCGAGTCTGTGCCCTGGTGGTTTGCAATGAAGGATGTTGCTGAATTTAGAGTATTTCTCGGTGGGGGTTTGAAACTGCTCGCAGCATTGAGGGCTTGGGGAAAGACAGACATTAAAGACAGAGCAGCGAGGGCCCCTTTTCTGCACTCCCTCAGCCCAGAGCAGCAGGAAGCTGGTGGTTCTCACCCCTGCCTGCCCACCTGCAAACCTGAGACATCCTGTGGATCCCAGGTGACTCTGCTGCCAACTGTCATAAAATTCACATTTAAAATCTGATTTCAGCATCCTGACATGGAAGTGAACTGCATCTCCCCCTCCAAAAAAACCCCTCTCCAATGCAGCTCGAAGTCCCTCCAATGAACCAGATTTTAATGACGATTATTTAACGTAGTGGTGCAGCAATCTGTTTTCCTAGCTCAGCCCACAGGCTGTATTTAGTGCAAACCAAACCCTGTCACACAGATGGCATCCGAGAAGTGGGAATAATCCAACTGTTAGTAGAGGCAAATATTCATCTCCCTTCATCAATGAGCCCTGGCTTGCCTGCTGAAGGGGCAGGGAGGGCAAGAAAGCAAGAGGGGCTTTGTGAGGAGGAAAACAGTTTGGCCTTTGTGAAACTGTTCAGTGAGAAATGAATTTGAAGAAAGAAACTAAATCAAGAGAAAATGATCCCAAGGGGGTGTGTGCAAGGCAGACAACAAATCCTCCAACTTTCAGTAGCAATTAATTTGAAATCATACAGCATTTCATAAGCTCCCTCGATTATACTGCGGTCAAGGCAAAGGAAAGAGCCTGATTTAGAACAAATATTTACACTGAGATTTTTATAGAGATGCCACTGTCTGGCTGACAGCAGTGATGGCTCATGTGAAGGCTGAAGTCAGCCTGAGTCTCTGGCCTCATGTCTTGCTCCTACGTAAGTCCCTTCTGTCTCTTGGCTTTCAGAAAGGAACAGTGCACAAAGGAATAAATCACGCTCCAGGAAAACCATAATGGGCACATTCAGTCATGAAAAAGATGTAATTCTGACTAAGTTTTACTGAAAATATTTGTCCTTATTTGCAATGTTGAATACAGTCCTTTACCCAGCCTTTGAAGATAAGAGATGTAGCCAGAGAGCAACCTTGGGAGTGATGTCAGTGCCTGTTGGTTTGGAGCTGTGAGCCGGGTTTGACTGGGATAGTAGCTGGATGGAGCTGTGTTTTGGATTTGTGCTGAAAACCAGGTTGATAAGACAGGGATGTTTTCGTTACTGCTGAGCAGCACTTACACAGAGTCAAGGCATTTTCTGCCACTCACCCCACCAGTGAGTTGGTTTGGGATGCACAAGAATTTAGGAGGAGACAGCAGACCACCACTGACACAAGGGATATCCCATGCCATATGGAGAGACAAGCTCAGCACACAAAGCTTGGGGAAGAAGAAGGAACAAGAGGACGTTCAGAGTAATGGTGTTTGTCTTCCCCAGTAACCATTACGTGTGATGGAGCCCAGATTTCCTGGGAATGGCTGAACACCTGCCTGCCCACGGGAAGGCAGTGAATGAATGCCTTGTTTTGCTTTGCTTATTAAACTGTATTTTTCTCAACCTACGAGTTTTCTCAGCTTTGCTCTTCCGATTCTCCCCCCCGTCCCACCTGCAGGGAGTGAGTGAGCGGCTGTGGGGCTGAGGTGTCAGCTGGTGTTAAATCACATCAAGCTGCTGTTGCAGAGATGCTGAGCATTTGACCAAGAGAGACAGCTTAATACAAAATGATGCTCCCCCATGGAGAGCTGGGACACAGTTTTGTGGAATTCACAGCAGAGAGACAGCATCTGCACTCGGATTGTAATGTTTGATAGGGGCTGGGAGGTGTCCAAAGCTCCTACTGTCAGCACAGTCTCTATAGATATTCTTGTGTTTATTCCATACGTTCATTAGACGTATTATAATTACATCCTAAAATGTTTAACAGTTCATGTCATCTCTAGATTTTCCTCACTGGGGATCATTACCCAGCTGTTCCAACTGCAAAGGGGTTTTCAAGTTGTTCCAGCCTGCAGGAGCCTCGATATATTCTGCAGCCAGAACAAAGGTTCTCTTTTTGATGAATGAGGCTTCTTGAGCTTAATTTATGATCAAACAGAAGTTTTACACTGTGAATCCAAAATTCCTGGAAAGACTTTATCTCATGCAAGCCAGGTCTCAGATCATGGGAGAGAAACAAAGAGGCTCTTCAGAAACTGAAAACTCTGTTTTCACCCCAGCAGCCCTGGCCAGGCAAGAACACAGAGCAGACAGGGTTCAGCTCAGCAAAAAGTGCTGAGATCCCTCAGGTTTGGGTCTTGGGAAGCCCTTCTCCAATACATGGTGCTGGAGACATCCTCACTTCCTGCAGACCCAAGGTCTCCACTGCCCCACAGAGAGACCTCTCCTAGCCCACAGAAAGTCCCTGCTGCCCTGCTCCCAGGATGGAGCCTGGGCTACTCCTCACCCTGCAGAAACCCACACAAGGATGGTTTTTACTGCCCTGGGGGTGTGAGTCCCTTAGCAGGGAAACCCCCCAGAACTCACAGCAGCAGCCCAAGGCAGGACTGCCACTTCTCTACAGCCCCCATCATCTCTGCTGGCTTGGTTTGTCCATCTGCACTTTCACCTGAAGAGGGCTCATGTCCTCTTCCTGGCCTTGGCACTGCTCCCCACTAATCCACAGAGAGGGCCCAATACCTCTTTTCCTTGTCCACAGAACAAGAGACCTTTTGGCGCTGAGCAAGGCTCTGCCTACCTCCTTTTGCCTCCTTTGAGCTACTGGCAGCAATGAGCACACAGAAGAGCTGGTACAAGACCCCACGGGATCCTGGCTTGTTCCTTCAGGGTCTGTACATCCCCCAACACAGACTGATGGATCATGCACCGTGACTGAACCTGCAGCATTAGGGGAACATTAAAAAATTATATATAAACCATCATCAAGCAAACATGCTGGGATGTGCTGTTTAACAAACTGAAGGATAGGGGTCAGCTGGACCAGGGGTCATCCCCTTTCTGCACTATGGTAAGTGAACCAAGTTCTTAAGCTCTTTGGCTCAACAATATCCACGTGCAGCACAGCCTCTCTTGTTTCAGTTTACATCCACATTTGTTTTGCTTTCCTGTAAGTTTGTGCATGAATGCACACAGACATGAGCAATTCAAGCCTGAACACCCTCCAGAGTTCCTGCTTCTTCCCCACCACACGGGCGATGGGTGAAGAGAAGGAGGTGCCAAAGCCACCACTGATGGTGTTTGGGCTGGGACACATATACATCCCGTGTCTGGACATACAGATCACAGAATCAAAGAGTAGTTTTGGATGGAAAAGACCTTTAAGATCATCGAGTCCAACTGTTAACCCAGCACTGCCAAGGCCACCACTAACCCATGTTCCTAAGCACCACATCCTGTTTTTTGAACGCTTCCAGGGACAGTGATTCCACCACGTCCCTAGGCAGCCTGTGACAATGCTTGACAGCCCTTCCAGTGAAATATTTTCCCCAATATCCAATCTAAACCTCCCCTGGTGCAACTCGAGGCCCTTTCCTGTAGTCCTGTCACCTGTTACTTGGGAGAAGAGACTGACTCCTACCTGTCTGCACCCTCTTTTCAGGTAACTGTAGAGTAATAAGGTCCTCCCCAATCTTCCTTTTCTCCAGGCTAAAACCCCCAGCTCCCTCAGCTGCTCCTCATAAGATGTGTGCCCCAGACCCTTCATCAGATGTACACGTGAACAGCTGTTTGGCCACGTACAGATGTGCAGCAAACAACTGAGCTGCAGCCCTAGAAAGGCTGTGTTGTGCTGTTGCACAGCGGGGCCAGTAGCACTGATAGCAAAATCAAAGGCAGAAAAATCAAAGAGCCTACCAGTGTGGGATTGCTAAAACCAGCAGTTGGTCCAAGCCCAGCTGCTTCATGGCTCCCTCAGCCTCTGGAGGGATTGTGGGGAGCACTTGGTGCCCAAGGCTGGACTTGGCCACTCACTGACTGAGCATCTGCCTCAGAAGAGGACCAGGAGGGGAGCAAGGCGTCCCTGGGCAACCCAGGGGGAGCTTTTTCGGTTCCCCTGTAGCCCGGAGCTCAGTGGTCCCTGGGCGGGGCTTTTCTCTGCCAAGGAAGCTAGGGAGATGGAGAGCAGGAGGTGAGGACAGCAGTCATCCTTCTCGTGCCTTTATTCAATAGGAAAATAATTTGAAAAATCACTTTCTCCCCCTCCCTGCCTCTACCTGTGGGTCGTTAAAAGCATTTGCAAACCTCCGTCAGCCCCTTGCCCAGAATAAGGCGTTTTTCCCTGCTGCAGGGCGCCTGCCCACTCCCCGCCATGCGGAGCCACGCACACATTAAATATTACTAGAGCCCCCTCTGGTGGCATTGCTGTAAGTCCCAGTGTCTTGGAGAATTCCCGTGAAATTCACACCCAGACGCCTCAGCACGGCCAGCAAACCCAGCCACGCCGAGGAAGCCGATTTCACACTTAACTGGGAGCTCGTGGATCTGCATCCCCCCGTCTGTCTGCATACAGACCTCTTCACTCACTGCAGAGAGCCCGTGGCTGACCCCCATCCCTGAGCCCACCGTGTCTATAAATGAGTTTTGCAACAAAAAGGGAGCACTTCCTTGGCTCCAGGGCTGGTTATTCATTGCCCAGGGTTATTCAACTGGGAACATGCTGCGATGACCTTCGCAAGGCAGCCCTGCTTGCAGGCAGTGGCTCCCAGGACCTGGTGCTGGGAGCTTACAGGACACATCTGCCCCAGGGACCCGTTGGTGTC